CTCTGGGGCTCTCTGCACACGAGGAGACTTCCCATCACACTCCTGTGGACCCCCTGGTGGATTTGAACCAGCTCTGGGGCCATCCTCAGATCAGCACACCAGCTCCCTATGTGCTCCCCCACCACAGCTCCGTCCCTGGTCCTTGGAGAGATAACTGTCAACTCCACATGACATGCGACTTCAACCCTACAAGGATCGCTGCTGACAAAATAAGCTGGGGTGAATGTGGTAAAGTTGCTTGTGCATTAGAACATGGCCTAGCCTTTGTGAGAAAAACGTCCTGTTTCTCAAACATGTTACAAAAACAAGTGTCCCCTGTTAAACAATAAATCACCATTCAGTTGGTAACTAAACATTTTGCCGGCATAACCCATACGGTGACCATCTTGCAATCTGCTTCCCTAAAGATTCAAGGTGCTCTATTTAAGGCATAGCACCATGAATACAACAACAGATCTGTCATCAAAAAGCTTATTCTTGGGGAGCTCTGGTGGCCCAGTGGCAAGGAGCTGCAACTACAATCCCAGAGGCGCACGGTTCGAATCCACCAGATGCTCTGCCGGGGAAGGAGGGGCAATCTCCTCCTGTACCAGTCAGATCTGATTTGACGGTACACTCACACAAAAATAATAAAGTAAAATAAAAATAAATTTTAAAAAAAGGTTATTCTTCTTTTAGTTCTAGTATGTTATGAATATTATATGAGTTTAGTGTATCTTCCTGGATATTGATGACTGTTTATATAGGATCACCGCATCCCATGACATCAGTATAATTAAAACTAATTGTGAAGGACGTTTGATTAGAGGATGCCTCTGAGCTACCATATGAACACCCTTCCCCTGGTCTGTGCCGGGCCTTCCCCCTCATCTCGTGACACACTTGAGTCCGGTGCTGCAGACCCTGTGACATCTCATTAAATGACTTCCTCCTTTTCACAGATACTCTGCATTTCTCAGCATGATGTCACTTTGTAAGGAATAGCCTCTTAGCTACACGCCTACAGCATGAGAGACAAAAAGCTTAGCCATCTGAGAGGGGCCCTATATGAAAGACAGATGATACGGTCCCATAGGCGTCCACAGCAGTAGGTAACTAGTTACAGAAGCCAACTATCACCTTTTCTTGTCTGTGAGACTTTTCATTTTCCAGGTTGCAGCCGAATCTTTAACCACCATGCCAACCCCATTCTTAAGTGGAATATTCCGTTGTCACATTTGGTCGACTTGATAATCTCTTACTTCCTTCCCACTCTTTCGAAACTCAGAGTAAGCCGGTTACCCCTTGCTGGTCACCAACAACACTGAACCGTGGAACCCCTGTTTCCCATAGAGCTTCTTACATACCTCTGTTATTCCTCTGGCCAAAATCATAAAGAATCCCCTTCTGCACAATACATGAACATCTCCGGCTAGAAACTTAAAGGTCAGGAGTTCATGTCCTCCCAGAAAAACCAAGCACAGGAACTGACATGGTCTTCTTCTGATGATTCCGAACCTGAAATACACTAGGGAGTATGATGCAATTGTGTGAAATGGAGCATCAGTATGAGACAGCAGAAACCAATGGACAGCATGTCCACCAAGACTTAACCACCTTGTGTCCTACGTGACCCAGTGTTAGTGACCGGGAAGAAAAAATAGACGGGGACAGCAGGAATGAAATCTGAAAATGGTTATGAACAAGGGCTAACATCTCAAAGACTGTAGCCTAGAGCTAAAACCTCTTAGAGCTTTTCTTTAGAAATACTAGGAAGTAAATTACAGGGGAAAAAACTCTTCAGGTAGCTCTGGTGGCCTAGTGGCAAGAAGTTGTACTGTAATCCCAGAGGTATGCGGTTCAAATTCACCAGATGCTCTGCTGGAAAAGGAGGGACAATCTCCTCCTGTACAAGTCAAATCTGATTTGATGGTACACACACACAAAATAATAAAATAAAAAAAGTCTTTTCAAAATGAAGCTACAGTTTTCTCTGCTGACATGTCAGGAAGAGAGTGATTTACAAAGCACAAACTTTCACACCCCATCTGTGGGAAGTTCAGGTTGGTGTCTTCGTGTCTGCAAGAAGCACTTTCTTCCTTGTGATCTGTCAGAAGGAAATCCCTCCTGTTCTGGGCCTCACTCAGTTCCTTTTTAAGCATTTGGCTTGCCACAAGCCAGCAGACCTTAACGTCTGTTTTCCAGATGAAGTCGGTGAATCTTTCAAAGAGAACTTAAGGAACAACATAGAGACGCAGACAAAGTGGTTTTGGAAAGGGCTAGTGAATGTAGTCAAAATGTGCAAGCAGATGAGGTCCTGTACAAGTTTGGGAGAGGGTTCTCTTGGCTGTAATCCTCCGATCGGTAGAACGCATGGTTGCCTTTCGGCAACCAACTAGGAGCTTTGCAGTGATGTGTCATGGGGCCATTTCTTCCAGTTTCCGCTGGTATCCCAGAGGAGGTAAAGGTCGCCATTCAAAAGCACAAGGTGCTTCCATTCAAAAGTGTGATATTGACCTAGCATTTTCTTAACCTGCAAATCCTGATGGAGTGTCCACTGTTAGTTGATTTGGTAGTGACAGCAATGAACTTTCACCCTGGCACTCCACACTTAAAACACTTAATCTTTGTAACACCAGGCCATCTTACACAGAGTTCTGTATTTTTCCTAACATGTGGCAGTGGGTAGTTTGATGAATCCTGTATTCATTAGTTTGATGTATCCTGTATTCATTGCTCTCAAGTTGGTTCCAAATCCTCAGTGATCACTCATCAGGTCTTCAGAACTTGAAACCAAATGAGATAAAACTGCCAGTCTTTCTCCCATGGACAAGAGGTGGATTCCTGGAGATGTAAAAGGCCTATGATCAGCTGCATTACACCCTATGGACTAAGCAAATGAGTGACTGACCACATCCCCCCGTAACCCTAACCACCCATATATACCACAGGGATAATGGCCTCTTCTTAACTTCAGTGGCTCGTTCTCCCCCCCCCCCCCGGTGCTGGCTGCAAATCCCATGATCTCTGATTTATCATTTGACTTGACCCATTGAAAGTGACAGCAGACTCATGCCCTGAGCGCCAGTGCCCTGCTCCCACAGCCTGACCTTGAACTTGTGACTTCCAGTTTCCTGAGCCCCATCCACTCCAGTTCCCTGGAGGCCAGGGTGCCCAAATACCAGCACTTCAGGGCTTGGAGTCAGGTGTTTAAATGAGCTTCTGCAATAGTGAAGTCACCTCAAAGTGCTGGGTAAATTAGCGTGGTTCTCCCCTCAGTTTTGTTATTGAAATCTATGTTTCGTTCCATGCATCTCTTACAAAAAACAAAACAAAAAAAAAAACCGCCCACCTGAGTGTCAGTTCTTATTCCATATTGACTAGGTGACAAAAACCTGAGGGGAAGTAAACCAGCCAGAATTCTAAACTCGAGGGTAAGCACCAAAGCTCAGCTTAAGGACCATGGTTGTCATTTCTGCCCACAGGTGTGAAACACTCTCCAGGTCAGAGACTGAATGTAGGAATGTGCTGAGCAGCTGTTACTGCTGGGTTTGCTCTCACAACTGTTGTGACTTGAGTTTTTCTTTGTCTCCCTCACATTAGGCTGAGCAGATGACGGCTCCCGCCAGAGAAATAGCCCTTTGGGTTACCAATGCACCACCTACCTCCGATTAGTCACACAGCAACTCTGCTCATTGCCCAGACAGAAGTGACTCCTAGCTGACCCTGCGTCTGGTCTCTGGGGCAATCAGTGCACAGGAGGAGACTGCCCATCACACTCCTGTGCACCCTCTGGTGGATTTGAACTAGCTGCAGTGCCATCCTCAGATCAGCACACCAGCTCCCTACGTGCTCCCCCACCACAACTCCGTCCTTAGTCCTTCGAGAAACACCTATCAAATCCACATGACAAGCGAGGGGCAGAGAGACCACTGAAGTAGAAAGGGGCTGAAAGGACAAAAGAGACCACCTGGACAGCGAGGGTCAGAGAGCAGCAGATAGTACAAGGGAAGAGAGGCCACAGGGGCAGAGATGGACAGAGTGACGAGCAGGCCAGAGAGACCACTGGTGTGGAGAGGGGCAGAGAGAGACAACTGGGGAAGAGAGATCACCGTGGTAGAGAGGGGCAAAGTGACCACCAGGGCAGACAGACCACCGACGCTGAGAGGGACAGATAGGGGCAGAGAGGCCACTGGGGAAGAGAGGGGCAGCGAGGGGTTGAGAGACCGCTTGCGCAGAGACCACTGGGCTGAGAGGGGCTGTGAGGGGCAAACAGAGCACTGGAGCAGAGAGAGACAGTAGCCAAGAGACCAATGGCTCAGACAGGGATAGAGTGGGCCAAGGAGTGGCAGAGATCCCTGGAGCCAAGAGACCACCATTGCAGAGAAGGTTACACCCATTGGAAAGTCACTTGTTTTCCAGTTTTGACTAGATTTATGAAGAGTGTGGTGGAAATAAAAGCAATTGGATCCTAAACTCCAGTGTGTTGAGGGAAGAGGGAGGACAGAAGAAACCCAAACAATGCAACAGGTCAGCAAGAACAAATGAGTGGCCACCTGGCCAAAATGAATGCTGAACCATAAGCCACATGGAATGTCCTCATCCTTCCTCCCCTCCTCCAAAGCCCTGCTATAAACACCCACTCTAATACCTTACACAACCTCAGGAGTCAATCTCAGTATCAGGAGTTCAGTCTTTGTTTCCTCCCGGAGGTCTTTGTGTGCGACACCGGATAGAGCACCCACCGGAAGTGGTCGGGGACTCAGTCCGCTCGGCCTTCTGGTCGCGTGTTCCTGTCTTTCTGGCGGCTATTTTCTTTTTCTCTCGACATTGATCGTGAAAGTCGAGGACGTGAAAACAGCTTCCGAGTCCGCCGCGGCCGCTCCCGCGGCCTGATCGTGAGCGGCGTGTCCCAGAGCCCCGGGTTTTTCCTCCGCCCAGGAGCCCCCAGCCCTCCTTCCCGCCTTTCCCGCCCCAGCGGCCTGTGCTGCCCAGTGTCCCGAGCGGCCTTGCGCGCGTCCATGGCGGGTCAGCAGGTGAGTGTGCGCGGAGGAACAGGGTGGTGGTCAGTGCCCGTGTGTCGGGAGGTGAGTGTGCGCGGAGGACCAGGGTGGTGGTCAGTCCCCGGGGGTCAGGAGATGATTGTGCACGAAGGACCAGGGTGGTGGTCAGTCCCCGGGGGTCGGGAGGTGAGTGTGGTCGGAGGACCAGGGTGGGGGTCAGTCCCCGGGGGTCAGGAGGTGATTGTGCACGAAGGACCAGGGTGGTGGTCAGTGCCCGGGGGTCGGGAGGTGAGTGTG